CAAGAAAACCCCAAGAACAAGTAATAACAATAATCAATATCATCGTGGGGGGCGGCAGCAGCAGCAGGACTGGCCTGGGGCCCGTCCAGAGGCCTCGGGACGGGGCAGCATCAGGCCCCCAGACCTTAGGTTGCCTACCCCTGGCTTACAGGATCTGGGCAAGACTGCAGTGGAAGAGAGGGATTCTTGGAGATGTCTCATCCACATGGTTGCCATGAGTTGGAACCAACTCGAGGGCAGCTAAGAACAAAAACAATATGACCAGCATGGCTACCCCTAGATGTCTGGGTTTTTTTTATAACAACAACAATAAATAAAGTTTATTGATAACACCCTTTCCACCAAGAAATGGCCCATTAAACATATTGACAACAGTAATAAATAATGTTTGTTTATAGCACCATTTGCACCATTAAACATAATAATAAAGTTTATTGATAATGCCCTTTGCACTGAAAAGCAGCCATTAAATGTATTGACAACAGCAATAATAAATAATGTTTGTTTTGTAACACCCTTTGCACCAGAAAATGGCACATTAAGCATGATGATGATTGATGATAATTAATATTTAACATTTATTTATAACACCCTTTCCACTAAAGGGTGGCACATTAAACATAATAATGATAAAAAATAAGAATAAATAATATTTATTTATAATGCCTTTTCCACCAAAGGGGATCACATTAAACATAATTCAAATAAAATAACATTTATTTTATATTTAACACCCTTTCTACCAAGAAGTGGCACAATAATAATAATAATACACTTATTTTTAACACCCTCTCCGCCAAAAGGTGGCATATTAAACATATATAATCAAAAACACGACAAAACACTATAAAATGTTAAAATAATATACAGTGAGTCTTTGTTAACTGCTGCGGTTTGGTTCTAGGATCCCCCATGGATAACAAAATCTGTGGATGCTCAAGTCCCATTAAATATAATGGCATAGCAAAATGGTGCTATATAAATTTTATATAAATCCTCATATAAAATGGAAAATCAAGGTTTGCTATTTGGAATTTATACTTTTTTGGAATATTTGCAAGCCCTGGTTGCTTGAATCCATGGATAAGGAGGGCCAACTGTACTAATACACTAAAAACAAACTCAAACTCTTATTTTATGTTTATTTTATGTTTTTTTATTATTATTTCAAATTATGCATGGTTACAGGGTTTTCCCTCCAATTCCACAGCATTAAACCAACAACAACAAAAATGATTTAAATGGTTTAGTATACAATTTTTTAAAAAAATGCGTATAAGGGGATGCTTAGCAGGCAGTTCTATTAAGGTAGTTACCTGGGTGTTATTGTGTGCCTTCAAGTCATTTCTGACTTATGGTGACCCAAAGGCCATATCATAGGGTTTTCTTGGCAAGTTTCTTCAGAGGGGGTTTGCCATTGCCTTCCTCTGAGGCTGAGAGAGTGTGACTTGCCCAAGGTGTCATGGCTGAGTGGGGATTCAAACCCTGGTCTCCAGAGTTGTAGTCCAGCACTCTAACCACTATACCACACTGGCTTTCTAGTTATTTGGATGGCACGGTATGTTTCCGGAATAAGGTCACTGAGGGCCTCGGCAGACGGCTAATAGAGCCGTCCTGGAGGCAAGGAAGAGGAGGGGCAGCCGCACGCTTGGCGCCCCTTCCTCCTCCCGAGGTTGTGCTCAGAGCCGCCGGCCCTCCGCACAGCCGGCGCTCCGAGGGCAACCTCCCGCCGCAGCGTCCGGACGCGCTGCGGCAGAAAAGTCAGCAAAAGTGTGCCGCATGCTTTTGCGGCGCACTTTTGCTGACTTGTGAAAGGAGCGCTATTTTAGCGCTCCTTTCAGGGGCAGCGAAGGTGCGCCGCAGGATCGAGGCGTGGGGATGCCTCGGTCCCACAGCATACCTTCCCAGGGCGGCCCTGTGCTGCCAGTCTGCTTAGGCCCTGAGAGAACCTTTCACAGTGGGGGCTTGGTCAAGCAGAAAGTGTCCCTCTTATAAGTTAGCAGTTCCTGGCAGTGGTCTGGGCAAATGTGAGATGGCAGAAGCATAGTCAATAAGAGTTGGCCAGTCCTGACAAAAGGAGTGTGATTTCTTTTGTCCATTGCAGGAGTTTTTACTTTATTTTTTAAAATTGCTTGTTAAACATCTTTAACCTTTCATGGAAGAAAATGAAACATTTTTTTTTGTGGAAGAAAAAAAAAATTACAGCTGTGGAGGATTTACATGAATTCAATGTAGATGACAAGGAAATTGAAATAGTCAAAGATTTCCCATGCCTTGGATCAATCATTGATTGGAACGGAAACAGCAGTCAGGAAATCAGAAGAAGAATAGGAATGGCAAGGGCAGTGATGAAAGAACTTGATGAGATCCTGAAGAGCAAAGAACTGAATACTAAACTTAGGTTTCACTATAACATTCTCCATCACTGTGTGTAGGTGTACTGGACGGTGAAGAAAGTGGATAAAAAGAAAATAAACTCATTTGAAATAAAGAATTGTGCAGCTACGATGGATGACTAAAAAGACATATAAATGGGTGCTGAGGATAGAATGTCTTGGAGATGTCTCATTCATGGATCGACTTGAAAGCAGTTAACAACATCCTCTTTTCCGACTGCCTTCTACCTTATCAAGCATTAGTGTCTTATTTTTAAGTCATGTCTTCTCGTGATATGGCCAAGGTACGACAGGCTCATAGGGAGAATTCAGACATTTGCTGTAGGGTCTGTTTATTGGTGGTATTTTTTTTAGCAGTCCATGATTTCCATAGAACTCTTCATCAGCATATTCCAAATTATTTGAGTTTCTTCCTCTTGGCTTTCTTCACTATAAATTTTTCACAACAATACTTGGAAATGGGGAATAAAATGGCATGAATTATCCTAATGTTAATATTCAGTTATAGATTTTTACACTTCAGAATCTTGTATAGTTCCTTCATAGCTGCCTTTCATAATCCTAGCCTTCTATTTTCTTGACTGCAGGCTCCGTTCTGATTAATGACAGAGCCAAGGTATGGAAAATCTTGAGCTATTTAAATGTTACCCCGAGAAACTTTTGAAATAATATTCAGGTCTCAAGGAACCACTGCATAAAAGTTATGATACCAATAGCTCAAAAATGTTTGTTTGTTTATTTTAAAAACTACACTCACAGATTCTCTAGCAACCTCTTAAGGAACCCCAGGGTTGCAGGGAAGCCTGCTTGAGAAGCCTTACATTAAGGCTTTGAGGGAGAGCAAGAATTTGAATAGAAGGAAGGTGAGAACATGGCCCCACAATGCATTGTGAGATGGAGGGCGAGACTAAAAGGAGTGTGGGGGGGGGATGAGATGATACCTTCATGATACATTGTGGGGTTTCCACCATGTTGGGAGGAGGAAGTCGTTTTCATACTGGGGAGGGAGAGGTTTAGAGAAGGTCCCAATCTTGGAATTGTGACCAGGGAAAAAGGATGAGAATAAAGCTCCACGATGCGTTGAGGGCAGAAGGGGCCCTATTCAAGGGTAGCAGGAGAGAGACTGAAGGGGGGGGGGGGGGGGGCTGAAGGAAGGGAAGATGAGAAAACAGCCCTGGTGTTGATCTTTCAGAGGTGGGACCTGCCTTGTAGTGGAAAGGGATGAAAGACTGAAAGAAGGGGAACAGCTCCCCAGTACATTATGAGAAAAAGACATTTTCATGAAGGGAGGGGTTGGGTATAAGACGGTCTGTAGTATTTTAATGGGGGGTATTCCTTACCTAAGAAACCCTATGAAATTCATAGAGTTGCCATAGGTCAACAGGCGATGTGACACACACATGCCAGAGCTGAATGGATGGAGGGTGGCCTCACAGTATATTAGCCGGCAGGTTACTTTCAGAGAGGAAGGGAAGGGTGTAAGGAGTGCCTTCATCTTACAATGGTATCTGCTGTTTAGTTCCAGGACCCCCTGTGGATACCAAAATCCATGAATATTCAAGTCCCATTAAATACAATGGCATAGTAAAATGGTGTCCCTTATATAAAATGGCAAAATCAAGGTTTGCTTTTTGGAATGTATATGTTTTTAAAATATTTTGAAGCTATGGTTGGTTGAATACATGGATTTAAAAAAATCAGTGGATATGGGGGGGGCGAACTATATAATGGGAGGCAGGAAATTGAATGGCATGGTATGATATGTTAAAGGAGTGAAGTGAAAAGGGTATCATGGGTAGAAGTTGGGAGAGATGAGAGGTTAGAACCCCCAATACATTTTGAAAGTAAGAAATCACACCCTTTGGAAAGTGACTATCAATAGAGCCTCCATCTTGTAGTAGGGAGGATTGATGAGGGTGCAGAATACTGCTTGTGTAGCAGGAAGTGGAGAAATTGAGGAGGAGCCCACGTTCATTGTTGGAGGAGGAGAAGGTTTAAGTCTTGTAATGGGGTGGGTGGGTAGAGGGATTGTAAGGACATAAATGAGAACATGGCCGAAAGACAGAGGGCAAAGAATTCCACTCTTGTAAGAAGAGGGAGTCTGAATGGAAAGAGAATTGCTCACAAAATGGGAGATGGAAGAGGTGTAAAGAAGGCCCTGTATACGTGAGGGAGAAACACAGGGATGAAAGAGAGGATATTCAACATGCATAGTTGAAGGGTGGGAGGGTAGGCACAAAGACAGTTTCAGATACATTAAGGAAAGGTGGGTGCAGAGGGGCATGGGCTACTTATTTTATGGGGACAGGAGGCTGAAATGAGGCAATGAAAAAGGTCCCACTTGAATGTGTTCAGTCTATGTGTTCATAGGTAAGACAGCCTTACTGAAGGAGGGAATGGAGGGTTTTTTTTAACCTGTTTATTAAAATGTTGGTATTCCACTCTTTATCCAAAGACCTCAGGGTGCTGTACAAACCCACCTAACAAATTTAAAATAGTGTAAATAATTAAAATAATTTTAAAAGGTTAAAACAATACTAAACAATTAACAAATTAAAAGACAGATTAAAAGGGTTAAACAGTTTAAAATGAATTGAAATTATTTACATGGGAGGGTTTCGTAAGACCATTTAGGCTCTCTAAGCCATGTTTTTACTTGTTGCCTGCACAGCCACAATACTGGTGCCAGTGGGCTCTGTTTGTCTGTGCTGTTGAAGGTGGGGGAACGACTGAAGATATAGTTCAGTTAGAAGTTGGGTGGGGGAGCTAGTTTACTTGGTGTGTTGAGAAGTGGAGACTGAATGGGGAGGTAGGAGAGATGGGAGGAAGTCCTTATCTGCATTAGGGAGGGGAAGAGAGGTTTAAGGAGGGTGCTGTTATTTTATAGAGAGGAGACAGGAGCATGGCACAACTCCCACTTTGGGAAGCAAACTATTGATATCATGGGAGAAGATGACTTTATTCATCTTGTGGCATGGGAAGAAAAGGAGGAGTTGGAGATAGTATGGGCAACTTAACAGAATTCCTCTCCCGTTGTGTCAAGATGGGTTTACTCTTGTTTTGTTTCTTGCTTTACAGTAGTTTTAAATTCCTCATAATACAAGATGACCCTCAAGTCTGTTACCATTAAAAACAGGCAAAATATATAGAATATTTGTAAAAAGGATCTGTCATGAATAAAAACCAGAAATTAGCAGAGGTAACCAAAAGCCTTACCTTCAAATTAAAAGTATAACATCAACCAGCAAATTTCTATAAAAACATCTTACAGTCTGTTAGAAGCACAGACAGAAGGAACTGATTTCACCCACCACCTAAACCATGAGTGGGCAGCTATAGCCCTCAGTATGTCTTTGGACTGGAGCTCCCATAAACTCTCACTAGTGGCAATGCTGGGTAGCACTGGTGGGAGTTGTAGATCAAAAACATTTGGAGGACCACAGTAGTTCACCTCTGGTATCAAGAAGAATAACCGTCTTTGGTTATTCCACGTGCAGAATACCACCACACTGAAAGCCATATTTCATCTTTGCCAGCTGCCTGGCTTGTGATAGCAGAGGCATCTGAAGTTCAGCCCCTTCCCATTAAAGATCTACAAATCTCAATATTTGGGAACAGACACATTAATACATATAGAGCGTTTGTGATAATAACAGTAAAAGATAATGTATAATCAAGGTAGCAGAGAGAGGTCTCTTAAATTGCAGAAACTATTTCAGAGATGGGCTGGGGGGGGGGAAGGCAGTCTGGTTTGAACTTGTGTACAGAAAGACGCATTACGCACATGCCCTTTATGTAATCCTTGTTCTGGGTGGGCCACTCTGCGGGATAGAGGGGGATGTGCCAGGGTGGCTCTGATTTCTGCAAGCTTCTCCTGGATTGCACTCTGCTTTGTGTACTAATGACTAGCCATATGCTGATCTCAAAGAAAGCAAATAGGGTCAGTGAGAGTAGGGGAGCACTGGGCACTAAAACTTGCCTGTGCTCTCCTTTGGGAAATCCCAGTTCTTCTCCTGTCAATGTAGCTACATTCTGAGTTGTGCTTCTTAGTCTTGGATCTCATGTATCCATACATTATCTCATGTGAGACTCATGTGATTGAATCCTCCTTCATAAGAGAATGTTTAAAAAAAACTTGA